TGATGAATAAAATGACTTTTGCTCTGAAGTCAAAGTCAGTGAATGTGAAGGAGAAGATGATCAGCTTTATAGAGAACACTTCTACACCTGTGGACAGGTGAGGGCGCTACATCACACAGCCAGCCAAAAATATATTCTTTCTATATCCTCTTCCTCCTCCTCCTCCACTGAGTTCTTTGAGGCTGGAACCAAACAAACCTGGAATCAAACAGGATCCAAAGTCCAGCTGTAGCTTACCTTCCAGATGTTTTTTTATTTGCTGAAGGTTTTGTATCTTATTTCACAACAGACTCTCCTTCCCTCTACCGTGGCCTGAGAAGGTGGTTCCAGATCGGTAAGAGCTTCTTACCACAACTGTACTGCAGAGCTACACTGCCCCCTGCAGGACTGTAGGACTCACTAAGCAACTTCACACCTGCAGAGAACATCAGTGCCTTCACTGCCCTGAGAAGCAGATGAGAGAAGCACTCTGATTGGATGTTCTCAGCAGGTGTGAAGTTGGTGGTGGTGCATGGTTACACGCTAACACCCTGTTGTCCGTGTGGAGCTGTAGATGTCGACCACGCTTCACTAACACGTTCCCTCATCACTTCTTTCTGCAGCCACAGGAACTGATGTGGAAACTCAGCTTTCCTTCTCTCTCTGTCCTTCACCTCATCACATCATGGGCGGGGCTACTTCCTGTCACATCTTGAATTTATGGATGGACTGGACTGAGCCCTGAGTATCACTGACACTGACACTGACACACGTTCCAACCCTTGTTTTCAACAGCATCAAGCCTGGAGATCTTCATCTTTCCACACCAAAGTCCATGGAGAAAACCAGTGATTTTTGCTGCCTCCTGTGGTCAGTCTGTGTCACTGATGTCAATCTAAACCAAATTTTAAACAGTGAAGTCACAGACTGGAACTCATTAGAACTTAGTGATGGAGCAGTAGTGGATCAACTGCTGCTGAGTCTAAAATCACTGGTTTTCTCTGTGAGGTTTGGTTCTGGATCTGTGCTCTTTGCTGTCATCGTCTGTTAGCCTGACTCAGGTTGCCTGTAGCAGCAGAGGGCACTCACAACATTGGTAGAAGCCTTGAAGTGTGCAGATATGTGTCACTCAAATCTTTTCAATTCTTCTTCTCTTCCCCCTCAACCCCCCCTCTCCTCTCCGCCACTCTCCCTCCTGTCTCTTCTTCTTCATCATCTTCAGACATGTGAGCAGCAGCAATCATGTAGGGAACCCCTATAGAGGAGTGAAGCCAGTTTTCAGCATCGGTGACGAAGAGGAGTACGACACAGGTAACAACTGTGTGTGTGTGTGTGTGTGTGTGTGTGTGTGTGTAGTACAAGGACGAGGACAGTGAGTCGTCTAAGCTCCAGGAGCCCAGCTGGGACATTTGTCTTATTTTAATGAAATTTGTTTTTTCAATTTTGACAGCAGCATTACAAATATGGGAGCTTTTATTTTGAAGGAGCTTTTTAAAGTGTCCTTCCTCTGTGGCTTCCGTAGATGAGATCGACAGCTCGTCCATGTCTGACGACGACAGAAAGGAAGTTGTCAACATTCAGACCTGGATCAACAAACCTGACGTGAAGCATCACATCCCCTGTAACGAGGTGAAGGAAACGGGTCACATGTTCCCCAGGTGAGAAGCGTGGCCACGCCCACTTTGTCTTGTTCTGTTTCAACATGCCTGACATATCCTTGGGCCGTCCTCCCTACAGCCACCTGCTGGTCACAGCCACTCACATGTACTGTCTGAGAGAGATGGCCTCCAGGAAAGGTTTTGCCTACATCCAGTCCAGACAGGCTCTGAACTCAGTGGTGAAGATCACGTCCAAGAAGAAGCATCCAGAACTCATCACCTTCAAGTTTGGCACCAACAGCTCCTCAGGAGCAGAGATCTCTGCAGTGGAGAGGTTCTCCTCCCAACACACACACACACACACACACACACACACACACACACACACACACACACACACACACACACACACACACAGAGAGAGAGGACCACACGTTGTTCTGTTTCAACATGCCTGACATATCCTTGGGCCGTCCTCCCTACAGCCACCTGCTGGTCACAGCCACTCACATGTACTGTCTGAGAGAGATGGCCTCCAGGAAAGGTTTTGCCTACATCCAGTCCAGACAGGCTCTGAACTCAGTGGTGAAGATCACGTCCAAGAAGAAGCATCCAGAACTCATCACCTTCAAGTTTGGCACCAACAGCTCCTCAGGAGCAGAGATCTCTGCAGTGGAGAGGTTCTCCTCCCAACACACACACACACACACACACACACACACACACACACACACACACACACACACACAGAGAGTGGACCTGGTCCATAGTTATACCAAGCTTTAGAGGTTTTAAAATGTGATAAGTTTGAGGAACTGTTTGAGAAAAACATTTTCTGAAACTTGAAGGACGACTGGACAGAGAAGGTTTCTTAAAGATGTTTCAGAAGCGAAGAAGAATCTTGGACCAAAGTTGAAACGTTTTGAAGAAACCTACTCCGTCCAGTCGACCTCTAAGTAACTGTTTTTGGAGGAGATGACCTGGATGACTGAGAACAAGTTTTAGAGAATGTTTCTGGAACCGATTCAACAGTTTGTGGAACACCACCCTGAATGTTTTCTTCTGTGACAGGTATTTGATACCAAACGCTGGAGATGCCACCAAAGTCATCAAGCAGCAGATCATGAAGGTCCTGGATGCTCTGGAGAGCTCATAGAGATGTGTGGGCGGAGCCACAACCACTGGGTGGGAGTGTGATGGAGCCGCCCCCTGCAGCATGGACTGCCTTGGGGCCACGCCCCTCAGACTCAGAGGAACTGACTTTATTTACACTAATTTAAAAAAGAACTTCTAACGTCGGAGGAATCATGGGAGTTTTTACTGACGATGTCAGTGTTCAAACACCTGAACTCTGACGAGGGATGGCTTTCACTCTGATTTTATGAGCTATTAACGCCAACGTGAGAGCGCCCCCTGCAGCTGAACACGTAGAAAGCAGATGGACCAACTTTCTCCCATCTCCCCACACTCCAAACCTCATAGAGAAAACTAGTGAGTTTAGACTCAGCAGCTGTTGATCCACTGCTGCTCCATCACTGAGTTCTAATGGGTTCCTCTATGACTTCGCTGCTGGATTGACAGACTGACCACAGGAGGCAGGAATTAATCTGTGAGCTGGTTCTAACAGCAGGGGGTGCTCTCTGTATGTCTTCTCTTTATTAATCTTATCTTTTCCGGCTGACATCACGTGGTTGTCCACCGTAGGACATGATTGGTCAGGTGACAGGAAGTGACCACAGTATTGTTACAAGACCTTCTGTGATGTGCTCTTTTACTTTTCTCATCTGTGGTGACAGAAAGAACAGTTTGACCTTCAGTCAGGCTGTTACTGGGAGTAACAAACTATGGTAGCCTGTGATGGTCAGGGTTAGAGGTAGAAGAGCAGTATTTTCTATGATGGTTGTGTTTACAGTAGCCTGATTGGACCAGTGCTGATTCACATCAACACAATGTCAGTAAAACAATAAACAAGAAAAACCAGCTGAAGTACAGCTGTGTGTGACTCCAGCAGTACACGCACTACTACACAGGTACACCACACAATCTGCAAATGACATGAAACTTTGTCATAACAGTGAAAGTTCTCTTAGCATGACAAACTCAAGTTTGAGGAAGAGGAGCAGTTTGATGGACTATGCAAAGCTAACGTTAGCTTGATGAACGTGACGTTCAAAATCAAGTCAACACTGCACTCTGATGAACCACTGATAATGCAACAGACAAATGATTTAATAACATCTAACCTATAAATTTGCCTTTGTCACATAATTCCTCTTCTCACCAGAGTTTGGTTCGTTTGAACTGTATTGTCATTGTTTACGCTGTTTTTTCTGGACTGAGAATCAACTAATGTTTAACCCTGAACAAGGTGAAAATAAAGTCCAACGTTCACTTCATACTGACAGGTGATTGGCTGCTAAAGAACCATATTCTGACGTCACGTCCTTCTCAAATAATAGCTAGGGTTTTGTTGAAATAAAGGCTCTTTGTTGAATCTGCAGGGTTAGTTTATAGACTAACTATTCAAATTAAATTACATTTAATTTAATTTAATTTGTTTTACGTAGGTACACGCCGTGTTTTCAATGTCGTACGAAAATTCTAACGTGCACTTATTGTGAAACCGACTGCCGTGAACGGAAGTGACGTAATTGAAATTCTTACCGAGAGCCCAAACAGTGGGACGGCGGTTTGACTGAAGCCACGAAAAGTAGGTTTTTACTGATTGCTTTTTAAACTGTTGTTTGTTGAAACGCCCTGTGTCATTCTGGTTAAATTCAAACTTTACTATAACCACTTTTTGTAGTTTTATCTTATCTTACACCGTCTCTTTAGGACATGCTATGAACAAGCAAAGTGAAAAAGATTGATTTGACAAACGTGCCGGTTTGGACCGAAAAGTCAGGTTTTTAAACAGGGATGCCATTTTTATCCAGATTACTTTTATGATTTAAACGGACTTGCTAGTTGTTGACAGACTAGTTGTTGACTGACTAGTCCGTAGTTCTCTTCTTTTTGGTCGACTCTCTGAATTATGTGACCGTAGTCATTTGATTTTTTTTTTGTATAGCCTTCTTAGCAATCTCTAAGAATCTCTGATTAAAAACATCCGTCGAACCTTGATGACGCCATAAAGGCCACAGCTCTGGGAGTGTCCTGTTTCTATCCCCGCAGTGTTCCGATTGGCTGTGATTCAGCTGAAGGTGAGCAGCGTCAAAGCTGAAAACCTGAGTAGAGTGAGGAGGCTGGTGAAGGAGGCGGCGGAGCAAGGGAGCAAGATGGTGCTCCTGCCGGTAAGGAGGAGCAAGTCACTGATTTGAGAGGTTTTAAGTGATTAAAGCCCCCGGATGTAGTATGTTTTTTGTTAGCATACATGCAGTTTAATCCAGCACCTGTAGGTGGCCCATAGCACTAACGACGTTATGTGGACAGATGAGGCGTTTACACTTCACTGTGTCACTTCACTGTCCACTGTTATTTCACTGACGTCATGTTCATTTGTTTATTGTATGAAATGGTAATAAGAAGAAAATAAAAGTATTTTCTTTATTGGTGTCTGTGGTTGAAGTACTCCGATGGTACTCAGTGAATACATTGTAAGGACAACCTTCATTTGTGACGACGGTGTTCGAAATCTCTTGTTAAGATTGTCTTCAGTGACACAAACTAACCACCGGAGGCAGCACTGGACCAGCAGGTTCTGGGGTTCTCATTCTTGATGTTTCTTCAGGAATGTTTCAACTCTCCGTACGGAAGCAGCTTCTTTCCAACGTACGCTGAGAAGATTCCAGGAGAGTCCACGCAGCTGCTGTCGGCAGTGGCGAAGGAGAACCAGCTGTACCTGGTGGGAGGTTGGTGGAACTACAGGTGTTTGACTGTCTGTCCAACTGTGTTTGACTGTGGCCTGTCATCAACCAGGATCTATTCCTGAAGAAGATGGAGGGAAACTGTACAACAGCTGCCCAGTGTTTGGACCTGATGGACAGATGATCCTCAAACACAGAAAGGTTCTGGTTCTGCTTCCCTTGTCAGTGTGAACTAGTGTGAACATGAAAAGTCAACTGACGGCTCCTTCATGATCACCTGGTTTTTAGATCCACCTCTTTGACATCGATGTTCCAGGAAAGATCCGCTTCCAGGAGTCGGAGACACTGAGTCCAGGAAACAAATTTTCCATGTTTGAAACACGTGAGTGTCGCCCCCTGCTGCCCCCTGTGTTTCAGAAGTGCCCTTTGTGACCCACCTGTTGTCGTTTCTGTGTCAGCCTTCTGTAAAGTAGGTGTGGGAATCTGCTATGACATGAGATTCGCAGAACTGGCTCAGATTTACAGCAGGAACGGTGAGACAGAGAGAACATTCTCCAGCTTCCTGTTACTGAAGGTTTTATGCTGTTGTTATTTTCAAATATTTTCCCTTGTCTGTCCTTAGGCTGCCACCTGCTGGTCTATCCTGGAGCCTTCAACATGACCACTGGTCCAGCTCACTGGGAGCTGCTGCAGAGAAGCAGGTTCAGTTGACCCCTGACCTCTGTCCTCCTTCATCACCCTGACCGAGCTGACGCTCTGGCACTTTCTTCTCTTCTACAGAGCTCTGGACAATCAGGTCTTCGTGGCCACGGCGTCTCCTGCTAGAGATGAGTCGGCGTCATATGTGGCGTGGGGTCACAGCACCGTGGTCGACCCCTGGTGAGACAAATTCTGTGATAAATCCTTGACTCGACACCTGTGTTCTTTCATAAAATGCTGACTCACCATTTTGTTTGATGTTTTTTGCTGACTCGTGGGCTGGTGTTTCAGGGGCTCGGTGATGTCAAAGGCCGAAGCAGAAGAAATGGTGATTTACGCTGACATCGGTGAGTGTGACACAAGTCCAGGTACTGACACAGGAAGTGACTTTACATACAGGAAGTGACAACCTTCATTTATTTTGTAAACTATAGGGTGTTAACATTAGTGCTCATTAGCTAACTGTTGTTACTCTTTTGATTTATATCCTGCTATCCCTGTTGTGAACCCTAGAGGGTTTTTCTTTCTGCCAAATTCTCCTTCCTTCAAACAGAAGAAAACATTTTAATCACAGTTTTTTTTGTCAATGTAGTAAAATGAATAGTCACAAGATTTGATTCTGTTTTTATTTTTCAGATCTAAAGTTTTTAAATGACGTCCGTCAGCAGATTCCAATCAACAGCCAGAGGCGACGTGACCTTTACTCCGTATCCTCTGGTCAAGAAGTCACTGTTTCATAACCTCTGATCATATTAACGAATAACAACATCTGACTGAATGACTGAGGACATCATTTCGTTTCCAGTTAAAGGTAGATTCTGTGTTTTTTAAACACATGGCATGTATCTCCCTCTAACCCCCAGTAGGAGGAGCTACAAAGTGATTGTTTCGTGGAAAACCAATCCTGTTGCTGAAGCCTTTTAATAAAACACAGATGTTTGCTGCTCAGATTAAAATGTAAAAGTGTTTTAATCTATTATTTTGTTTGAATATTAAAAGAAAAACAAATATATGAACAAAGACAAAACGCCTCTTTGTGGGGGGCACAGTGCCCCTAGTGTTTGTCCAGTAAAAATGTCCTTCCACTTTTCTGATTGGTTTTCCACAGCCACTTTCTGGAAGTGCAAACAGCGCCCTCTTGGATCTTCTTTGTCTCAAATTAGAAACATGAAAACAGACTGGGTTCAGGTGTGATGACATCATTGAACATAAGGAGAGACCACCGTCCTATGAACAACCAAGGACGGAGTCTGGAGGAGACCAGGGTTTTAGATCAGTCTGTTGAAGATCAAGGTTTTTATGAAGAACAATGTTTGTGTGTTTCTGACTTGTGGTTCTGAAGAACCTTCCTTGCCCTTTGGTTCCTCCGGACCTCAGATTTTCCTTCTCACAGAGCCTGTGACCCTGTGACCCTCCTAGCCAACATCAAAGGTTGGTCTCGTCGGGCTCTGGTTTCATTTCTGTCTTCTCGCACTCTTCATCCAGACGACATCTCTGTTTTCCTGGAGAGATGAGACGGAATGGAGAAAAGAAAATCTACTGAA